GTTTGTATAAATGGTCTCGCATTTTCTGGCATTCTTCATCTTCTGGGGCAGCTAAAGCCCCCCTACCCCCACTGTTTCGCCCCCACTGTAGTCGACGAGTATTTGTGCTCAAGCTAGTCTGCGTTCCACACTTCCAAGTGATTGTTTCCCTTCACGTGGAGGTAAAGTGTGTCCTTGTAAAAAATCCTTATTTATGCCTGCCAAGCGAACTGTAAAAAATAGTATATGCATGGCAGAAACTCCTTGCCCCTCCCCTTTTCTGATAGTCCCTCTATAATGAGTTCTAGCTATATGTTTCATCGAATTTTGTAACCACTTTTGTTCTATTGACTACGGTTAATTACCTTACTTAACAAGTCCTTATGACACTTAAATAATATTCCAAGTTCAAGTTAAAGATTGGTAGTTGTCCTCCACATCTCTGGTTTTGCTCAACTGCGTGTAAGTAGAGTCATCGTCATTTGTAGCGTCATTACATACGGCGGCATTCACTCTCAACGACTGATAATTATCTTCTGTGTTCATTTTTGAAAGATCAAGCTCTTGATAAGTTGTATCAGCTTCAGTTGTCTTTGGTTCAGGCTTTCGTTCAGGTTTTCTGTTTCTAAACCAACGACTACGCGAATACGAGACAATGTACAGTAGGAAAAGAGAATTCCAAGAATAAATCCAGACACCAACGACACAACAATATGCCATACTACAACAGTTCCAGAACTTTCACAATCCATTTTGGAACTTGTAACCTCTCCTGAAGGAACATTTGGAGAATTGATGAGTTAGAAAATTAGCTAAACCCAATGACATTTAATAATGCAATTCCTGAAAGGAAAACTAGTATTAGGCCAATGAATAAAACTGATTTTCAGATATTTTCACCTTAAAATCTCACGACAATTATAGTCTTCATTGGAGGGAATGAGCAGTATATACGGGATCTAGTTTTATATGATGATGGTGAATATTGTGAAAAGGTTTTCTTTTTCGGTCTTTTTCAGGAAAAACTAACGGAAGTAGCCTGTGAATTTAGTTGGCTGGCTGCTTCACGTGCAAAATAAGTTAAGATAAATGGTCCTGTCGTATACTTCGTATTACCTGATCGATTATCGTACTTGCTTGTATTTGGTATTGTTGGTGGTTGTGTTGGTTGTCCTCTCTCTATTTCACGAATTGCAAATAAAATTATATAATGAAACGAAATTTTCTTTAAGAAGTCCTATATGCGAAAGAAAGTTGTACATTGTTTGGTAAACGAAAGATTACTTAAGATTAAGTATCAACTTGAAAACATAACTCAATAACACTGTGTACGGTACCTCCTTGCTTTAAATACATACATAATTTGCTGAAATAATTTGCTGAAATTTGCTATTAAATACTCATTCCAACAATCAAAATTCAAGATACTACATATGCAATTATTGTAACTAAAGTCATTAGAAATAAATAAGTATATGCATTCATTACATCGGGTTGCATTATTGACTAGCCGTCTCAGTAATAGAACATAATATAGTTATAGATAGAATTTTTCTGTACTATAATAATTATATCATGGTTATGTCTATATATAATTATGCCCCAATTCAAGCCAAAATTTAAGTATTTGTATTATTGCTCATCCCCTGTACCAATTATATTTTTCCTTTCCCTGTTTCCTACGTGTGTTTCGTCCGGTTGCGTCTTAGAATCTTATCTTACCTTCAACATTTAGAAAATCAGAAGCCAAATTATATCCACGTTCACTCATTGCATTGCATGCATACACTCCAGCATTGAATTAAAATCTTACTTGTAACCTTTAGAACTTCAGAAGCCGTATCATTTCCATGTTCATTCCCTGCATTGCATTCATACTCTCCAGCATCAGTCCACACCACGTTATTAATATCATGCGTCTTGGCATTAATGAAACGAGTACCATTATGGGATATGGTATAACTTGGTTCAGGAAAACCACGAGAGTTACACGTTATGGTGAATGATCGACCCAATATGGCTGGGTTTGGTTTCAACTCAATGGATGTGTCTTTTGGTCCAACTGTGAAGGAACAAAACAGCGTTAATTGCTTTCGTTTATGAACCCGTAATTCCATTATTAATTATTAACATATGTTTGAGGAAAAGTTAAATTGCTTCACCGTTTATTCTTCTATAAGTATCTGAACACATGACCATATCAAACAAAACATATTGGACATTTTCGGATTTTTAGCATCTCATGCATCGCACAAAAAAAGAGTGGTAAAACTAAAATCTAAAGGTTTATACGGTAACTTCTTTTTGTCAGATCCTAAATATAGTCATCACTCATAGGCCATGCACAATATTCAAAATTTGAATCATTAACTATTTATCTCTCATCATTGCACAGCCAGTTAGAGGGTTACACACTCACATTGCATCCATGTAAATCCATGCATTTATTTGAGTAAGGAGGGATTTAATTTAAATTCATACGCACATTCTTTGAATATAGGGTTGGAAATATTTAACTTAAGTATCAATCATATACTTACATCTAACGTCTACTCTGATTGATCTTTCTTCTCTGAACATTGCATTGGGGTAGCTTTCAGCCATACACTTGTAAGTTCCACTATCTGTTTCATCAACGTTCATCAGAGTTAATATTTCGGTTTTTCCGTCCCTGTTCTGTCAATCTTCTTGCCATCTTTGTACCAAGTTACACTGGCTGGAGGGTTGCCACCTGGTCCTCGACATTCACATGTGAAGTCATCACCTTTATTGAGTATGACGGGACTGGAACAAGTCAATGTCACAGTTGGCTTTTCTGAAATGTAATCAAATCATGTGTAGTAAGACGGTAGGAAAAATTATTTTCTAGGATTAGGCAACCTAGCTAATCTCATCTCACATTTGACAAAAAATTAATTAAAAGGAGAGTAGATAAATGCAGAGAAGTATTCAAAGTTATTCAAGGTAATATATCCTCACTAAAAATTTCATTTGACGCGTCACTCACTTTTTTGAGCCGAAAATGGTACCATTTCCGCACGCAATTACAAACATATACAAGATTTGCAAACTTTGCAAGACTATATTTTCCAAGCTTTATAACATTTCGCAACCAAATTTTGCAATTTTATTAATTTCATTATCTTCTTTTTAGTTGTATTGTTTGATTCCCTTCTCTTTACTTAGATTAAAATTTGGTCTAACATGTAAGTTGTCCTGCATTGTTTACAACTCAGGGACGTGCTGGGGTCTTGAAAAGGACGACGAATGAGCATCGCCCGGTGAGGCCAGGGCCCAGTGACGGATGGATCAAGATTGGGGTGGGGGGTTTTGCTGATCAAACATGAAACATTTCAGTTGCTAATAATTAAATCTTTTTTCCCCAAAATTGTTGGCGAGCGGGGACGGGGAGTTCAAAAAATTTTCGGATACCATTTTCAGTTACTTTCGAGTTATGTACCGTAATTAATTTGTTAAAATTTTCGGTAATATTTTCGTAATTGTGGATTTTTAAAATATGAATTGTAATATCTTAATCTTGATTTTCAAAATTAAAATTTATCTTTTCCAATGTTTTCATTTTAGGGGCCCATAATGGCAGGGGCCCACGACGAGTTCTCGTCGGCTCGTCCCTATAGCTATAGTACGTCCCTGGTTTACATGCATATAGGGTACTTGAAACGATTTATGAGCCGGGTGGAAGAATCTGCTCTGCCGTAAGCAGGGCGCTTATATATAAGCGCCCTGGGCGTAAGGGGTGTGCCGCGTGCTGCACACAACCTTGCGGTGATTGAACAAAATTGTTAAATCCAAAAATTAAACTATTTTTAGTCAAGCTTGTTATATAACACAATATTGCGAATTTGCTCAATATCTCCAAAATTGAATGACTTCGTCATGCCAGACAATGCTCATTCAACTCTAGAACTGATCATAGTTAATAGAGGACATATGAACTGCATGATGAAAATATTGCAGCAAAATTTGATAAAATTAGAAGTTCTACTTTACTACAAAACTTACCTGCAATAAAAACAACAACTTCAGATGATTGAGGCTGGACAGACTTTCCGTCTTGAAGGCTGAAGATATACATTCCATTATAACTTTGATCGACATTCTTTAAAATCAATGCTGCTGGCTTGTCTATTTCAAACCTAGGTATCAAGCTGAAGTCTTCTTGTCCGGGGATTCCATCATCAATTACTCTTGCAAGTCGTCCTGTTCGTGAACCGTCACTACTGTTGAAAAACCAAGTCCGAATATCCACTTGAGATATATCACCAACAAAAGACCAATCTATTTTTACGGTTGATCCAGGAAAAAATATCAACCTGGTCCCATTAGATGGTGGTTGCACTTGTCCTAAACGACACCAAAAAAGTTTTTTGAAGGCTGCACTTGTGTAATCAACTGAATAGATTCAGTTTAGGTCAATCATTGTTCTCACAACTCATTTCCTTTGGGGGCACAGAATATGTGACGACTAAATCGTGAGCGGGGTTGTCACAAAGGTCACAAAGATGTAAAACTCGGCAAGAAGCTGATTACGTATTTGTGACCAATTTATTTTCTCTTACAGATATTCTTGCATGCCTTATAGCATTAAATCTAACCAAACATCAACCTGTTTCACAGGGTTTCACCTCCACCACGCCCCGTAAACACGCAGGGGGGGGGGAGGTGAGACACTGGGAACGAGATTGGCCGGCAAACACAAGAAGTCGTAGGCGTACACCGGTACGTGAGGAAAATGTTGGAGGGGCGGCTGAAAATTTTCCCGACGTTCGCGAAATTGCCCGAACCAAAAACAATTTGTGAAAAACGTTGCATATTTCTACCTATTTGCACCAATTTAATGCGTGCCGCTCTTCCCTTTAATAATTTTGAAGTACAATTGCTCAATTTTTACATGCAATCTGGCCGACTGCCCGATCAAAAAATATTACAGCCTACGCAAGCAGCTCAAAGCACGAATGAACGAAGATATTGATATATAAAACGAAAGAATATGACATTTATAAAAACTGAGAATAGAAATTACAAAGTTCCGACTCCTATACCTTCACATTGAAACAACAGACAACCGAGACCAAATAAAATGAGAAAACCAGTGCCGGTAATCATCTTATTCAGGTAGTTAAACCTATACATTAAAAAAAGTACATTTATGGTATAAACCAATCGTGTTCGCCAATCGTCATTTTGTCCCGGGGCTCATGCATGGTTGGCTCTCACCGGCCTTGAACAAACTTCAACTGGAAGTTATACTAGAATTAAATAATTTTCGGACGAATGCTCTTCTTATTTTTCACAGGCTGCGGACTATATAAGGGGCTTAAACTACTTTTTAACTACTCGTTTAGTAGTTAAATGGCACTCACAACAAGACAACAAACAGTTCCCGACAGAATTTGTGTATTTTCTCATTTCTGTGCAAAAAATATTTCTTGAAACATATAAGCAAGTGAAATGAACTGGTTATCAGTGAAGTCAATCCAGCACCTTCGGGAAATTCTCTGTGGCGGCTATATATAAACGGCATGGAATTGCTGCCGAAAATTGAATTATCGACGGCAATATTTCTTCAATGGTTATTTACTTAGGCTATATATAGCTGTAAGGAATCTAAATTTACGTTAAGTTATAAGTTAAGTTCTTTATTACGTTTTAGACGGCACTCGGCAGCGCCGCAGCAGTGTCCAACATTACGGGTCCCATTTTAGGGCAGCAAACATGCTTATACATGCAATTGAGCTGTGGGACGGCACAAAGAGAGACTTGAAGCAAGTCTATATAAACATTACCCCCCTCTGCAGGCAACTCGGTTGGCAAAAATAGCAGAATTATGCAACAGTTATAATGATGAGGGTATAGCACAAACCAGACGTGCCCATCGCAGAGCCATCCGAATACTTCTGAAAGCCGTTGAATGATACAACTGTTGACTAAACGTGAACTGATAATAGAGCTGCAACAATGACTCATTTACACGCTCAAAAGCCTTAGATATATACAGGCTATATGAATAGTAAATTTGCAAATTGTCGACATTCGTGGCTATTCAGATAGAATAAAACCGTAATTCAGCTTAGGTATATTAGCTGCCATTAGGATGATCGGCACACCTCTACATACTTATCTTCACTATGATGATCTCAAATTCACGAATTGAGTTGTACTAAAATAGCAGATCACAACTGAGACAGGAACTTGATATATATGTGATAGCATGGCATTTCGTCAACTTCAAATTTCAATTAAAATTATTCTGATTTATTTGTAGCTAATTTGTAAATTTGAGCGGATGTCATATCCAATCTAACTATCCGGACTTTGTCAGATATCACAAATTGCGTGAATTGGATATCCAGTAAAGTCCTCATTGTCGGATTTGATATATTGCTGATATTGCGTCTATAGATTGTATTCATGCTAAGCAATAGTTGGTGTTGTGTACTCAGTAACTCAGGTGAATATGATATTTGTGATGTTCTCTGAGTGAATATCCACACCGGGCGAGCTTGAAAAATATGCCCGGCCACGGATACTAGCCCAATGCTCTGCCAACTGAGCTACGCGGTCAGGACGGTTCGAGTAAGTGATATTTCGGAACAGAATGTAGTTCCTTCGATACCAATGTAATCTAGTAATATGATTTTTTCTGTGTTGGTGTTGTGTACTCAGGTGAATAACTGTTTATTTTATCGAGGTATAGTTTTTACTTGTATGTTTATTATTTTTGTACTCAGAATGATGTGATTCAGTATACTATAGGTTCTACTGTTTCTTCGACCTATAAAAGTATCGACATTAATACGCTGCCGTGTTTATATAGCCACTCGATGGTTTATATGAAATAGAGATTAAATCCCTCAACAAATTTCATTCAGAGAATGAAAACGTGTCTGATATTGTATACCTGACTGCAATTAGCTTTAATGCATATGGTTTCATACGAAAACCATGATAATAAACCAATAGTCACTTATATAGTTACATACCTGCTATATAATTAAGTGGTATCACAGTTTATAGAAATGAGAGATATATTCCTGCATGTAAAATTCGCCACAAACAGCTATATTACTATAATATGATGTGTTGTTCTTCCGGCTTCGATACGGATTGAAATTTGATATTCAAATGTGAAACACACTGCATGCCTCCTATCGGTAAATTTCTAAAGTTATGATTAATTCATAAAATTTGAAAATTATTTAAAGCATTAAAAACAAAATACCTCACTAGACACTAGCGCACGATAACATAATAAATTTGGATTATTTTTTTTGTAATAAAATATTTATAAAAATAAAATAAAACTCATACTGTATATTTTACAACTAAAATTATTTATATAGAGTTAATAATATTTTAGGAGCACAAAGATTTCACAGGAACCGCATTTTCATGCAGCGCCGCTGGAATAGTATAAGAAAATTTGACTGCGAAATATTTCTTATATAATGTTAGCATGGATTTGTTTCGGATTTCATTATTTAAATTTTCTCTCTTTTTCTGATGTCAATGCAGTCGTGCTTGCATGATATTGAGATACAAAGCTATATATATATAGGCATGTCAACATGGGCTGATTTATGCCCGGCGAAGCAAACAAAAAAAATACAAACGTACATTGGTAATGAAAAACTGTTGCGAAAATACATCAGAGCTGCATACCCCATCAAACATGAAATTCATAAACTGGTCAAACCCAGTGGTCAGACCATATCGTTTTGTTTCAGTGTAATAGCGCCACGATAGTTGGAATGAGGCTTTCATGCACGCAAAATAAAACCGAGTACCAGGTTTTATTCGTATATTTATTAAAATACTTGACCAATTATATATGCTTCAACTTATTTGAAACTATATATCTAGCAGTGAGCCAATATATCTTTCAAGGACGCACTAGGAAATGCTGCACCTTGAACAATGGGCATATAGGAAGCAATTTTTGCCAGAAAAGGGCATTTTTCCCAATGTTAAGGCTTGGGATAAGGGCACATTACATAAAGAAAACCCTTTATATATGACCACGGTTCCCACGCCACTGCATCCTTGCAGTAAGCGCTCGTCGAATAAAGTCGAAACAAGTCGTATTTTCAGTGTTTCACAAAAGAATCCAGTCGCGGCCATAAGGGCCATTACTGAAAACCTCCGGATAACAAAAGAATATGACCTGGCCACATGCAAGGTATCGAAATTTAATTTTAACAAGATCTTTGGGCCCAGGGACCTTTCGATCTTCACAGTTGAACCTCCTTCTTGGCTGGCCTTTAAAGACATTTCCTGAAACATGTGACCCCTATATATACGGTGCTTAAAGAAGAGGCTTCCTTAACCTAAAATATATTCAGGATTAAGTTAATGATTGGTACTTGTTCTCCTCATCTGGTCTTGCTCAACTCAGTATATGTTGACTCCTCGATATAGATCAAACTTTTTTAGACTTTGTGCATATTTGGCATGTGTAAACGTTTGTATAGCTACATATGACAGGGGTCGGTTGTTGATTTTTTTCAAACTGTTTAAAATTGACCGTTGAATAGTGCCAAAGGCCACAGGGCATGACAAGTAATATAAAGTTTTTTCGTGTACTAACAAGCTGGATACGTTGTGCATGGTTGTGAATGTATCTTAAAGAGGGAACCAAAAACAGACGGGGAGACCAGGTGTGGTGTGGTGGGTTTGGTGTTAGCGCAGCCATTGCCAATTACGTCTGGAGAAGAAAAAGGACCGTTGGGACAGTCTCAGACCCACTGTTGAATAAAAACATTTTCCTTGATTTTTAATCTGGCCTTCTCCGCAAGCATCTCTAAAGGTTACCCTGGTTTCTGTGGTTTTAAAACATGTGATACATGTGATCCCAATAAAGATGCCTGAAGGCTACCTTTATCTTTAAAAGATATTCCAGGTTCAAGTTAAAGATTGATAGTTGTTCTCCACATCTCTGGTTTCGTTCAACTCAGTATAAGTAGAGTCATCGTCATTTGCAGCTCGATTTCCAGCAACATTACTTGCAGCATTCACTCTCAACGACTGATAATTATCTTCTGTGTTTATTTTTGTTAGATCAAGCTCTTGATAAGTTGTATCAACATCAGCTGTCTTTCGTTCAGGATTTTGTTCAGGTTTTCTGTTTGTAAACCAGCGACGACGAGAACACGTGACAACGTGGGAAAGAAAAAGCCCAATGATAACTCCAGACACCAAAGATACCACGATATGCCATACTACAACAGTTTCAGTGCTGCTCTCACAATCCACTTTCTTAGAAGCTGCTTTCTCTCCTGAACAGAAACATTTGGACAATTGATCAGTTAGAAACTTAGAATATTAGCTCAAACAACTTGTAACTGCAGGATGAGGAGGAATTGAGACTGAGATGCCAATGACAGTGTTGTACATGCTGATGCGATATTACATCTGTCAATATTAATGCATATAACACGTTGTATATTTTTCTTATTAGGTTGCCCTGATTCATTGAGAGAAGTAAGATTAAATAGACATAATAAGTTAATTTTCAGCTACTTGCAGTTAAATTTCTGATCAGTGCTCACTTGTGGTTATATATGATGATGGTGAATATAGGACATATCGGACAATAATGCAGTAGGTGTCATTCTGGTGCAGAAATGGTACCTATACTGCACTCATTACATCAGTTTTTTGTGCTTTGGATGCGGGGTTTATTTGAGGGCGGTGCTCTTTAAAACTTATTTTATTTGTGAACGATTGTTATGCAGGCAAAGTTATTTTCGTTCATAATTGAATTGGATCAATATTTTCAGTCGTACCTCACTGGTACTCCAATTATTATTGCCGTGTACTTGAGCTGGTGGCAGGCTGGTGCACTCGTGAAGGTGTACTTAGACTAGTACTATAAGATAATGTATATAAAGCTCAGATTTCTAGTAACCTGAAACTATGAATAACAAGAATGAGGAGCACAAATGCATATACAAAAAAAAACGACATAAAATGGACTCCAATATGCATTCCGTAGTCCCATCTCATCCCATCAGTCCAATCATGTTTCATGCCAAGTCATGTCGGTAAACTAGATCATTAAATATTAATATTTTCAGTCTTATAAATAGTCGGTGATTTGAATATCTCACCTATGACGGTCAAACAAGAGCACTTTGAATTACGTCCAAGTTCATTCTCCGCAGTACATTGATATGTTCCAGCATCACTCCAGTTCACTTTGGATATGGTATACGTCCTCTCACTACTAACCTCAGTATCATTATGGATTATGGAATAACGTGGCTTAGGCAAACCACTAGATTCACAAGTTATGATAACTGATTCACCAATTACAGATCTTTCTGGCGTAAGCCTAATGGCTGTCTCGTTAGGTTTAACTGTGAACAGAAACAAAATCTCTATCATACTAATGAAAATAGACAATTGCTGACTGTCTCAAAAAAGACGTTACGCTGCATGTTTGATTTAGTAACGTAAAAATTACAGAACAACTATTACACTCAAATAAGTATCAGTGGCAGTTCTAAGGAAACAGGCTCAGATTATAGTCTAGCGCTAGAAAAAAACAACAAACAATGTTCTGTAAAAAGTTTAGTTAAAAATACTCGTTAATTGAATAAAATGTAAGAAAGAAGAACTTTGCATGAGTAACACGTAGCATACAACTAACGCTTATAGAGAGTCTTGTTTAAAATTAAATGAATTCTGTTCGAGGATAAGTTGCATATTTCAACATTTCAGTTTATAATTTAAATGTTTATTTTCCTATTTTTAAGTTGCTGAAGAAGTTGCAGAATTTAAAACAGAAGAACAAAAGGCCACATGCAAGATCAATTTCAGCCAGAAGGCTTATAGATTATATATAGTTCATGCAATTACACTAATCGTTCATGCATGTGAATCGTTAGCAATTTATCTTCTATTGCAATGTTCTATTCTTGCACAGCCAGTAAAACAGTCACTGCATGCATGTTGTATTTAGACTAGTAGCTAGTAGTAAGGTTATAAACAGTAGTTCTATTAATATACAGTATACACCGAAATACTGTATAATGCTTAACTTGAGTACCAACGGCAACGATACTTACATTTAAGTTTTATTACAACTGTGATTAATCCTTCATCTTTAAACTTTGCATCGGGATAGCTCTCGGCTACACATTTGTACGTTCCGCTATTTGCAGCACTAACATTACGTCGAGTTAATGTTTGTTCTTCCTTTCCTGTTTTACCGATCTGTATGTCATCTTTAAACCATGTTACATTGGCAGCAGGGTTACCACCCTGTCCTTGACATTCACATGTAAGATCATTCCCTTCAATCACTGTGACAGGACTGGAACAAGTTGTCACAGTTGGCTTTACTAAAAATGTACGGTAAAGTTATTTTGTAAAGTTAAGGTTGGGCAAAGATCGATGTTTTAACAAAAAAATTAAAAATTAAAGGACGAGTAAATAAATAAATTCAGTCATGGAGAGAATTATTGAAGTCAATAAATGCTTGTTTACTAAAGATATCATTTGGCAGGATATACTCATGCACTTATGCGTTTTCGGGACTTGTTGCGAACTAAAGTAATTTGTTGCCAACGGTATTTTGGATAAATTTGAACTAGATTTTGATGCGGATTTTCATTGAAAATGGCCAGTAAGTCATTGACAATGACAATTTTTTAATACCGGTAGTAAAATAAAGCGATGTCAAAAAAACTTTTTCCAACCCCCCCTCGCTAACCAACTTTTTTTGGGGAAAAATAGGGCCCACGAATTACAAATTTGTCCATGGCCCCCCAATTTCTCTGGGAGGCAATGCACGGACCACTAAAAAATTTGAAACACTCTCATATTGTGGAAAATACGGAGAAATTACCTGAAATAAGGTTTGAAATTCGGTCAACCTCTAAAATTCTATATAGTATATAGAGATCTTCGAGAAAAAGCGCGGAAATTTTCTATAGAAAGTTTAGAAAACCAAAATTTGCAAATTGTTTAAATTTTCCAGTGTGGAACAGTATAAAAATTATTTCATATAAGAAGTATTTCAAAATATTGCATTGATCGAGACTTTATACACATGTATGAAAAATGTGACGAAGACGCCGTACAACTAGCGACCGCCAAACTGCTGAATAAATTTGCGACGTTAATTGCATAGTCTTCGTCATTGGATTTCAAAATTTTTGGTTGTTGACATAATTATGCATGTTCGATTTTCAAAAATGATCGAATAGATCTGAATCTTTTTGTCTTAAATACTTTAATCAGTTATATATGATAACTTCTAATAAGCATGCCCATGCATGCATGCATGCATGCATGGATCTTCATACATGCTGCCTTGTCCCTTCTATAAACTGTCCGTGACGAAACCTTCAAATAATTTATATTCATATTTTTAATGAACTTACTTGCAATAAAAACAATCACATCAGACGTATCATCTGGCTTGCCATTTACTTTAAGGAGAAAGGTGTATGTTCCATTATAATTTTGATCAACATTGCTTAAAGGCAATGTTCCTGGCTTTATTATGTTAACCCCGGGTAAGACGTCCGTTGTTGTTTGAGGCTCAAAATCAGAAACTATTCCTCCAAGTAACCCACTTCCTAAGCCGTCACTACTTGTGAAAGACCAATCCCGGTAAGCTGCTTTAGCATCATCAAATGTCCATGTTATATTCCTACTTGATCCAGGTAGAAATGTAAGCTTTGTTCCATCACGTGGTGAAATGATCACTCCTAAACACAAAAATTCTAATTTTTAGAAGTTAAAAATAATGGAATTCAGATTACGTTTCAGGGTCAGCCAATGTTCCTAGAACTTATCTATCATTGGGTGCTTCACAGACGAATATGTGAATATGTCAGAAAACATATATCCTGCATGCAAGGCTGCGCATTGTCAAAATTCCACACAAGTGTTCGGACATTTGAAGTTACTTAGTGACTTCATCGAACTAGGCGAGATGAAATCGCGAAGTTTGTTTTCTGAATGTACATGATAAACTTTGCAGCGCTAAGGAAATGGACTCAAGCGTTATGCCCATGCAAAATTATAATTGTTTTCATATAGTCATATAGAGATTCAAGAATGTGAAAAAGCACCCAATAGTTAAATAAACATGTTTTGTTCCGTCAGGCCTATATTCCCTAAAACCAAAACCTTGAGTATTAACTTGTTGTGCTTATCGAGAAAAAACTGTGACAATTAATCTATTATTTGTTCTGTCTAGTGTCTATAGTTTAATAGAGTCCTTACCTTTACAAGGCTGAAATAACAAAAAATAGAGATCAAGTAATATGGCAAACGCCAAACCAGTCATATTTTGTGATATTAATCTATATGAAACAAATAAAATATTAATCAATCTATGGTTGAAGAAGGAAATGCTACATCAGACATACAGCAAAGCCAATTCAAATTAGTATATGGATTAGATCTAACCCTGTGGCAGTTTTTCGAAAGCAGATTAATAGCTTAACCCTAGGTTAACCTAAAATTTAAAGCAAACTTTATAAATTTACAAATATTTCTTCAGAAATATTGTCTGGATCAGTAGAAGTTTTCTTCTCTGAAGTTTTGTGAAATAAACAGACGTGTGGAAATACATAAACCAAAACAGCAGGTTAAATTTTAACCGCGCCGAAGGTTAGCGCAATAATCCAGATTTAAACAACCGGCCCCTGGATTAAAAGTTTACCCGTCGTTTTCAAGTTTGTGTATTTCTCTGCACGTTTGTTTATTACAAAACGTCAGAAAACAAAACTCCTATATATTGATCCAGACAAAAGTACTGAAGAAATATTTCCAATTTTATAAACAAGCTGGGGAATGTTTGCTTTGAATTGTAGGTATATATATTGATTTAGTTCAGTATTCTCGGTACTACCTATATATTAGAGCTCGACAACTGGACTCTGGGCTTAGTTGGTTAGAGCACTGCATGGATCGGAATCGCAGGGCCGCAGGTTCGACTCCTGCCCGAGAGGGACTATATAGTTGTATTTTCCGCAACTGTTCATGGTTAGGTCTAATAAATGTATAAAATTTCACACTCGAAATTTACATCAAAGTCAAAACCCTTCTTAGATGCCTAAAATTCTGAAAAATTTAGTGTCTTTAGGCGTAATCTAACGTCGCAAGTCCAGACAGCCCCAGACCATCACACGAGACTGGAATGTGTAAACATTGGGTTGTCAATGTAGTTATTGAGGGATTAGCCATTAGGTATATTTATCTGATATTGTATTTGGTTGCTATATATGAACTTTTAAGGGTGGACCAGGGGTGTTGGGTTAGGTGGGGTAGCTATAGTGGCAAAATCTTCAGATAGTGGACACACTCGTATAGAAACTTACTAGCTATACACTTTTCAGTTTTCACATACAATGAGGTGAGAAAATGTGGCCCGTGCAAAAAGCTTATATACATTTTGTATTAATTCAGGCTGATTAAGCTGTTACTGCATATATAATATAGTTAGTTATTTGCAGTACTTGTACTTGTCCTCAGAATGAAGTCAGTTAGGAGAGCTCTCCCACTGTATCTTGGACACATATCTAAATTTCATTGAGATCAGTGACGTAACAGAGGAACAGGGGGCCCTTAGGCATATTTGGTGTGGGGGCCCCTGTTGACTGTTGTCATTGTCTGACTCATGAGATATATTTTTATATTGAGTATTTATAGAATGTAGTCTGGAAAATTCCATGTCTATAGCAATAACAGTCTCCAACACATGTAACAACTAATAAGAATAACATTTGTTTTATTTGAGATGGAATAAAAAAATCAGCTACCGTTGTCGATGGAGGTTTAATTCTTTATTAATTTTGCATTTTCCCATTGATTCTTAACCTGCATTTTTTACATTTTCTAATTTTCTGGGCGATAAGCCGTGGGTGATGGGGCCCCTAATTGTCGGGGGCCCTTAGTTTTGGAACTAACCCTCCCAATGAGCGCTACGCCACTGATTGAGATTACATAACTTAGTACACAAACCAGAGTCAGAGAACGGAAATATGTGGGGGAAATGAACTACATATCATATTTAATATAATACGTTTTCATACGAATAGTACCAATAGTCAATACTGAATCACTCAAATTAAAAGTCTATTATAATATTACATAGTTACTTACCTGCTTAACAAATATTCCTGTAAATTGGCCACCTAATGCTATAATATATATGGTGTTGTTTTGTATGGTGTAAAGTTCTTCCGGCTTTGATAGCAATTGAAACTTGATATGCAAATATGAGACACACTTCCGATCCTGCCTCCTGTGAACTTCGGATCAGTAACTTCGGATCCGCCAGAAATGCATTTTCACCTAGGTTTTGTGACTTCGTATGTGCATGTTAGTTTGTGCATAGTTAATATATATATATTAACTATGGTTTGTGTTTGTACGTCAGAAGGTAAATTGTAGAATCAATGGTCATATGCCAAGAACAAATCCATCAAATTTTGGCTGAATTACAAAAGATTTTCTGCTTGACTGGGCTGAATGGGGAGGCCCAGTATTCTGCATGGATATTGCTTATAAGATACATGAAATTCATTACATGTAATATCTTTCATATGTTAACTCCTTGTCGACCATTCCCAATCCCAAATGAATTTAATCCTTGAACAAATTCCATTCACGATCAACGTTTTGGACTCTTTGAGAAGTGTAGTGTCTTTTTTAAAGCAATAAAGGTCTAAAGTCGCGCGCTAGATAGCTGGAGTATTGAAACAATAAGTTGTGATTCAAGAATGAATTTCACTGAACCTGAGAATTTCAGCATTAATTTACGGTTTGCCGACAAACCATGGGTCTATGAGACGTGTCTAATATTACACGGTTGCTCAATGAAATTTAATGGTAATGCATAATTCAGATCATACAAATATTCCACCAGTCTATCATAACAAATATTACATAGTTATACATATATACCTGCTATAAATAGTATACTTGTAAATTTATTTTTACAATACCTATAGGCTAGTACCAGCTGTATTGTCGCACTGTTCAAAATTGAGAAGCAGAAAGGACGCTACAATATTCTGCGGGTTCTATATTTTCTTGTTTCATATTTGCCACGATGAATTGTAAATAAATCTTTCGCCACCCAACGTAACGTGACCAGAGTCGGCAAACTGCGAGGCATACTTTTATTTGTATGTACACTAGAAATCAATTGATTTTGCACTAAAACCGGCCGCATATCACTCAACGATAGCGAAATTTGATTTCACTACGCCAAAAATTCTGGTTGCAAAATATTTCTAATATAGTTTTGGCAATGAATGCATGGTTGCACATTGCTGATACACTCTTTCAATAATTACGTCACACATACTTTTTGGTCCTGGAGCCTCGCTCTCATTAGTGAATTACACAAGGTGATTGGCTCACAATTCATAAGAGCGAGGCTCCCAGGCCAAATGACGTAATTATCGAATGGGTGTTACTGTATGCCATTTCATTATTCAAATTTTCGCCGTTTTTGTCTTCGCAATGAGTGGAATATTGTCTTATTAAGACATGGATTGGAAGATATTTAGCCGTCAACATTGGCTGATTTCCGCATGAAGCAAGTAGATGACAAAAGAAAAAAGTATAATCAGAGAAACTGTTTATTGGAGACTATTACATCAAGAGCGACATGTCATTTATCAAATTTTGTATAAAGGAAAGTAGTCTCAACATATAATTAAAAACCTGTTTCCCATAACCTATTTTTACTTCATGGTAAATATATTTACTGGTTCATAATTCAGGTTGTATATATCAGGGCCTTTTTTAAGGATTTTCCCGTGGGGGGGGGGTATTTTTTGAAAAGGGACCTTTCTGTAAGATGACATATTACAGGGAGATAGCAATAGCTGAGGGCCACGTGTGTGACCAACAGACCATGCACGCATGAATGGGGGGGGGGGGTCTGGGGGTGTACTCCCCAGAAAATTTTTGAAATTTGAAGCACGGAGATGCCATTTCCTGCATTCTGAGCATCCAAATTTGCTCTAAAATGTATGCTAACTATACTTGTATTTGAAATAAAAGAAGGGAAAAATGCACAAAAAGTAAAAAAGAATATTAACCGTACTAGATTTATCATTATACTTATTAGAGAGGAATACCAATGACCGAAGGCCACGTGTGTGGGGGCATAATCTCCAGAAAATTTTTCAAACTTGAAACCTGGAAATGCTCTTTCCTGCATTCTGAGCATCCAAAAAATAAAAAATTATTAACAATAATTTATCATTATTTAGTGGTAGAAAAACTTAACAATTTAAATCGATTTTGTTAAACAATGACACACGATAAAGCCTAAAACTTACTTTCCGTTTATTTATTTGTTATTCTTCGCTGTTTTGTTGGTATAAATTTAGGAAAAAGGGACTTTTCCTGGGGGGGGGGAAATGTGATTTCGTGGGGAGCACAAGGGGGGACTGGGGGGGGGGGCATTTGCATGGTATCTCAGTAGCATACAGTTAGCAGTTAAAAGTGGCCGGCGAGAAAACTCTGTGAAATACAACTTATTCATCCATGACCACGTTTATCGTCACATGCGTATAGTTTCTCCACTCAACCATTTTAAATTAACCATTGTCAGTGTAATGTCATGAATAGATGATTGGACCAAAAATTGCCGGTTATTGACGTTAATGGTCAGTGAATTGCATGCGGGCTGTTCCATTTACTGTTCGGAGTAGGGACAGCCAGAACAGTCATATGACTCGAAAGAAGGGGGCAGCCAGAATAGCCATGCATGGGATGTGACCGTTTTCGGTTCGATTATCCGGAGTATCCCGAACAGTAAATGGCCGGAGCGGCGGCCTGTTGTAGACAACATGCACAATTAATATTCATGTGACTATAGCGGTATATATATAAACGTATACCAGTACAGATATATGAAATGGACCGACAGGACCATTCCAAAAGTGATGGGGGAAAACGAACGGGAAAAAATCCAAAAACAAGCAAAACATTTCATAAAAAATACATATACAGGAAGACGGTGGCAGAAAAACATGATATACCAAGTGAACTGTAAAAAGATAGTCCATACATGGCAGAAACTTCCTTCCTCACCCCTTCCCCAAATACACACACACACACACACACTGTTCTGATAGGTCATTCCTAATGAGTTTTAGGTATAATTGTGTTTCATCGAGTTTCGTAACCACTTTTATTCTATTGACTACGGTTAGAATTAGCTCTTAACAATAACACTTATATAATATTCTTAGACCAAGTTCAAGTTAAAGATTGATATTTGTTCTCCATATCTCTGGTTTTGCTCAACTCTGTATAAGTAGAGTTATCGTCATTTCCAGCTTGATTTCCAGCGTCATGAGTCACAGCATTCACTCTCAACGACTGATAATTATCTTCTTTGTTCATTTTTGTAAGATCAAGCTCTTGATAAGTTGTATCAGCCTCAGTTATCTTTGGTTCAGGGTTTCGATCAGGGTTTCTGTTTCTCAACCAACGACGATGAGAACACCAGACAATGTAGAAAAAGAGAATTCCAAGAATAAATCCGGACACCAACGTCACAACAATATGCCATACTACAACAGTTCCACTACTCTCACAATCCACTTTGGAACCTGTAGCCTCTCCTGAAGGTACATTTGGAGAATTGACGAGTTAGAAAATAAGCTAAAAGAATGTCAACTGTGTGCAAAGGAATTGACAAAATGCTAATGAGATTGTTGGACATGATCATAATGTGGTATTAAATTTGTTAAAATAAACCAATAAATTCTCACAAGTATAGTCCTCATAAGGAGGAAATGAGTGACTTGAACGGGGACTATACTTTATTGATGCATAGTGAATAATTGACAACACTTGTGAAAAAATCTCTACTAATAATTTTTTCGTATTCTTCAGGGCGACTGTAATTTTTTTCACGTGTAAAATAAGTTAAGATATGATCCATTACCGCTCTTTGGGGTGATGCCGTCAGTAGTTTATTGCAGGGATGGATTTACTGGGGGGGGGGTACACCCCCTAGCCCTGGCCAGAGGGGGTGCAGGGAGGTGCTATTTTTCATGATAAAGCAAAAAATTATCAGAGACAAAATGAGATACAGTAATTCAGGGGCGGATCCAGCTAAAAATCTGACTGTAGCATAATCCCAAACTGAGGAGGCACCACGTAATCTAGGGGGGTCCGGGGGCATGCCCCCCTGTAAAATTTTTGAAATTTGAAGCCTGGAAACATCATTTCCTGCATTCTGAGCATCGAATTATGTTCTAAAATTTGACCTTAATAAGGCCATATTTTAGACAAAAAGTTACAAAAACACGTAAAGACAGTAAAATGGTTAAACGACATACCAAGTCATACCAGATCTACATTCTTAATTACTGTATGCAAAGTTTAAGACCAGCCTTCCTCCCCTTATTAATATGTAATTTAATATCATACCGCACATGTGTAACATACAGTATATAAACACAATTACAATCAAATGAATCAATGCAAAAAATCAATGGGCAGAACGATATATAACGCAAACAGACACATTTATATACTGAAAGAAACTTTCTGATTAACAGAGATTCAACCCTTAAATATACAAGCCACATTTCGAGGTTTTGCTTGTATTTTTGAGTTACGGTAATTCAGTATGAAACGTACCTATCTCTCAATCCGAAGTTTTGTGTTGTTATCATTTACCAGTGTGGAAAGTTTATATCGCGCGGCGGAAATATCGGACGCGCAATTTTGATGCTTTCTATATATTTACTATTAAATTTTCGAAATCTCCGACGGGCAATTTCCATATTATATATTCTAATATATTCTAATATTCATAAGTTTACCTGACCCGAACGTGGTTCAACGGGCGCGCTTTTTCGCCGTTTCGAATTGTAATTTCGAAAAATCACACACAAATACCTCGCGATCTTTCAGGCGATCGGCCTTAACTTTGCTTCCGATGGCATCCTCACATAGCGCTTTAGTCTACTTAGTTTTTCTTCGAAAGAAATTAGCTCGGTAAAAGCGCAAACAAATATAGCCAAATAACATCGCTCTAAAGTTCCTATCGAATTGCGCAACTGTAGCTGACTGTAGAGCATTGCAGCACTGTGATTGGTTTGCTTCATCTGACTGTAGCAAAAATGCTAAATTTAGTAACTCAATCCCCCGCTGACTGTAGCATTTTGACGTCATAAATCGCTATATTTGGACCACTTTTCTGAACGCTTTTTGAACGATGTTCAAAAAATTTAGGTGATTTCCCCTAAAAGCGGGTGTTGTTTCGGGTAAAATTCAGGTTAAGATAAGCGTGTAAAAACGTATTAAACTTAATATTCGTAGCTCACAAAAAACGTACGGACATCTGGTCGAAGATGCGGAAGTTAATATTTTTGAGATGGGCCAGAGCTGGCAGAGCATCGCCACCCTACCAGATCATGCTGGATCCATCCCTGGTTTATTGCTTGTATTTCGTATTGTTGGACTTGTTGCATTGTGTTTGTATCAAGTTCAGTTACATTTATTAACTTTATAATCATACAAAAATTATAACAATGATTGAAGGTATGGTCAACAGGACATGAGTCCCATGTAAAGACCAACCTGATACAATACAATAGGTAGACATACATTAAAGACAAGGACTAGAACACTATTTACATAGCTATGTAAAAATTAATAGTTTAGATTATGAGCAACAGCTTAAGTTGAAAGAACGGCATTTAGAGCAGAAGGTTTTCCAAGTGCGCATTCTGTTAATATCGAAAGAAGAGTCTAATTGAGAAGAGTAATGAGAATGGAGCTGGAGCTTAAAGGATGAAACAGACGAACTGTTACGAATGATCGGAGAGAGATTGTTCCATAGAAAGACAATTCGGTTAAAAAAAGAGTTTTTAAAAGGAGAGGTTTTGCACGGATTGACTTGAAGCAAGTTGTCCTTACTTGAACGGGTGCGAGATGAGCGATTAGAAGAAAAGGTGACAAAGGAGGAGATATCTAGGTCGTAGAGGCCTTGTTTGCATTTAAAAAAAGATGAGATCCTTTATTTCAAGCCAGTAAGATATAGGCAATAAATTAAGTTTTCTAAGACGCTCAAGATAAGACAACTCATAATTTTGAAGTATAAATTTAGTAGCTCGTCTCTGAACACCATCCAGGATCGCAAGATCGCGTGACGAGGCTTGGGGTGCCCAGATCTCACTGGCGTAAGACAGGTGAGATCGGACGAGTGAGAGATAGAGAAGCCGACGGCAGCGAGTATCAGTCATTTGAGAACAATTTCTCCGAAGAAAACCAAGCAAACGGTTGGCTTTAGCAGTACAGCTGGCAATGTGAGGGGACCACTTAAGGTCATTGCTCACAACCACACCCAGGTCGACTTGATTGGCTACAATCTTAACAGGTTGATTGTTAAGGTGGTAAGAGTGAGTTGGAGAGTTGCGTTTCCGAGATACCCTGAGCAAGAGCGTCTTAGATACATTAAATTTCAATTGCCAAGAGATCGACCAGTTGTGCATAGAGTCAAGATCAGTCTGTAGGAGATCACGATCGGCTGGTGACTGAATTGCACGGTAACATTTACTGTCGTCAGCAAAAAGTGCAACAGTAGAATTCTTAGTTACCTCTGGAAGATCATTCACATACAAAATGAAAAGTAGTGGACCTATGACACTACCTTGTGGCACACCAGATTTAACGTTAAGGAAAGATGAAGAAACTCCTTCGATAACGACACGCTGTTTCCGATTATGGAGATAATCAGCGAACCAGTTAAGAAGTTGACCGGAAATTCCAAAAGATTTTAGTTTAAACAAGAGTTTGCTGTGAGATACGGAGTCAAAAGCTTTAGCAAAATCAAGATAAAGAAGATCAATTTCATTGCCAGAATCAAGAGCACGACCGAGATCGTGAAACACATTCAAAAGTTGAGTAACACATGACCTATTGCAGCGAAAGCCATGTTGAATGTCATACAAAGAGTCTTTAATGAAAGAAGAAACCTGTCTAAAAATCAAGCGTTCAAGTACTTTTGAAACTTGGGAGAGTAATGAAACAGGTCTGTAGTTGGTGACTTCATGAACGTCACCTTTCTTAGGTATTGGAACCACATTAGCAGATTTCCATTCAGAAGGAAATACACCCTGCTGAAGAGATAACTCGAAGAGAACTGTTAAAGACGGAGCGATGACTTCGGAACAGCGCTTTAAAAGATATGCTGGTATGCCATCAGGCCCAGTAGCCTTAGAGGGTGACAAACTGGATAACAAAGATTGAACTTCAAATTCTGAAACAGTTATTGAGTCAAGAAAGTCAGATGATGATTGCGAAGGAGAAATTAAAGGTAAAGAAGAATTTGAGTCGGAGGTAAAAACTGATGCAAAATAAGTATTAAAAGCATCAGCCTTTTCTTCAGAAGAGAATAGTTTAAGACCCCCTATCTTAATTACATCAGGTATGGAAGATTTTGAAGATTTAGACTTAAAAAATCTCCAAAATGATTTAGAGTTATTGTATAAGGATTGAGAAAGTCCAGATAAGTATTCTCTTTTCTTGGCATTAATCCAACATTTGACGTGTTGCCGAGTCTTGCGAAATTTCTCCCACAATTGAGGCGAGTTCTTAGCCTTTGCTTTTCTCCTTAGGGACTCCTTCATGTTGATGGCGTGAAGTAGATCCTTGGTAATATAAAGGAGGCGTGAAGGAACGCTTGAGCGATGTTTTCGGAATAAAACTATCGGCAGCAGTAAGGAAAGCAGCTTTCCACTTGGACCAAGCAACATTAATGTCGTCACAGTTATTGCGAACTAAATTCACCAAAGAAGCGTTACGAAGACAGTTTAGGAGGCCAACAAAATCACCCTTTGAATAATTATAAACTATTCGCTCGGTGGATTGTTTTGGTCGTTGATGCAATTTTAAGTCAAAAGATATAGCTTTATGGTCCGAGTGTAAGGAGATGGAATCATCATCAGTAATTTCAAAGTTGTCAGTCAAATGTTCATTCGTAGTGAGAATCAGGTCAATGAGATTATGGCCACGAGCAGATGAGTTGATTAATTGCAAGTAACTAAAGTCAGTGATAAGGTCAATAAAACCAATTTCTGATCCTAAGGTAGAAAAACCCGATCCGTCAGACCATTGAATATTGGGATAGTTAAAGTCGCCAATTAAAACAACATCTTTAAATTGAGAATCAGCAATAAATTTCAAGAAACGGTTCAGTTCGTGCAGGAAATCAACTGAGGAATCAGGAGGGCGATAACACAGAGGGACAAGAACTTTTTTAGATGACGAATTAATCACAACAGAAGCAAGTTCCAATAAATCTGAAACAAAGTCAGTTGGTTCAGTTCTGACAGAATCTTTCACAGCTAACAATACACCACCTCCCCGTTTGCCAGTTTGTCGATCACGCCTAAATAACTTGTATCCAACCGGTAAAATTTCATCATTTCGTACATGATTGGACAGCCAAGTCTCGGTCAAAGCAATTTGTGGTAGAATCACGATAATTAGCCTTTAAATTTCTTACGTTCTGATACCAAAAATTAAGTGAACCATCGGGCCCGGGATTGGTTTGAACGTCGCCGGATAAACTGATCAGAGTAAATGATAAGTAGCAGGCATAAAGTAGAAAACGGCATCCGGAAACAGGTTTCTGAGAAGAACTTGACAACGGCCGTTGTTTTACCGTAATCCAGTGAGCATGACTATTAACCCACGTTTTTACAATGGTGTCGGTGACATTGGTACTTGCGTACAACAGCTTGTGGCTAGATAAACCCGAGGATAGACTGTTATTGTTTATCCAAAGATAGAAGCCATGGAACGATATCAGAAAGTAAGCAAAAATTAACAATTTTTTGGAACAAACAGATTTCAGATCAGTAGCCATGAAATTCATAAAATTATCGATATTCGCGGATAAACTGTATATCAAGGGAAATCCCGCATATATTGCAGTTCTAAGGTTAAAGTTCAAACAGAGAGTTTAACTATTCTGCGGGTCTAGCTATTTTGCGGGCTGCGGGTCAGGTTTTGCGGGCTGCGGGTTAAAACAATTGCGGGCCGCGGGCCAAATTGCTGGCCTAACTAATTTTTTGTTGCGTGCCATATATGGCATGCAACTTTCATATGGCTCTAAATTTCGTATCGCGGTGACGTGCAAATTCGTAAAATACGATAAATACCGAGTTTTCCCGACGAGCATTTCATCACTCATGCTCGAGGAAAGGCAAAGAAAAATGTTTGAGTGTTGGCCGAAAATGTAATACATAATTGAGCGCCTTAGAAAAATAGATCAAGGTAGGTAAAGCTTTGCTGGTTTTAAATTTCCTTATATTCTGTTATTTGTTGTGATTCTGGAGCAGTTGTGCTCGCAATGAATGATTATTTATCAGTCGTTTTTAATATTTATATCGTGAAGCCTGGCTACGCTATCAAAATACTCAATTAATTTTTTATATATGCTCAAATTGAAACGGAGTCATTGTGCAAACACTTACTATGTTGTGTGCAAAACTTCAAAACTACAGTACATTTTGTAAATAACATGAAATATATTAAAATATCAAACAAAATTCTCATTAATACTATTGAAATTTAATACAACGAAATAGCATTCTACGTCGATAATTTCAATCATAGTTTAATAATTATTTTCAATCTATAGTAATTCGCCGTTTCCATGTTTTTTTTTATACTTTCAATAAAGCTACAATAAAGCTAAAATTGTAGGAAATAACATTATTTAGTTATAAATAGTATAAAAGGAAATCTTAACAGTCAATCGCTTTCGATAAAACCTTGATCTTGTTTATATTACCGTCGTTTGCAACTAACGATGAACAGTCGCTCATAAAAACATTGTCTATTCGCGTGAGAATCTTAAGTTTTCTTATTTTGACATAATAGCTATTTTTCAACAGATATATTGATATTAAACTTATTGAATCAATATTTTAAGTTTCGGGCCAGTTGTATCAAAAGTTATAAGCAGTAGCGCATCATAACCAGGTCACAGAATGGGTCGTACAGAAGTCCAATTTCTTGGTTTTTCCTATGATTTTCCAATGATTTTGGCGGTTAGCACTTTTTTTCCATCCAGCAAACCGCCCTATCGATTTTCTAAAGTCGTTTTTTTTTATTTTTTCATTAATTCGATTAGGGTTAGAGTTAGGGTTGCGGTTAGGGTTAGGGGTTAGAGTAGGGGTAGGGTTTGTGTTAGTTACATAGCCATTTAACATCTCTTCTATCCTCCGAAAATGACATCAGATCAGTTTGCTGGATGGGAATTAGTGCTACTATTAGGATTGGTGTACAGTTATCCAGGTAGAAACAGGTTTTAATGTCTGGTACGACTCATAAACTGAGATTCCATGATATTACAAAAAGAATGAATTTAAGGAAAAATTCATATGCATATGATTACGAATAGCATTAGACATAGAGTATACTTCAAAGACAGAAAATTTTGAATAATATTGTTATTTTCTTTACATTTTCACAATATTGTTTTTAAAATTCGTCAGGCCCGCGGCTCGCAATCGTGTTAGCATTTTTCTGCCCGCAGCCCGCATTTTCCGGCCCGCAGCCCGCATTTCCCGAGCCGAGGGCCGAAAATGCGGGCTGCGGGCTGTAAAATGCGGGCTGCGGGCTGTAAAATGCGGGCTGCGGGCCGAAAAATGCGGGCTGCGGGCCGGAAAATGCGGGCTGCGGGCCGGAAGATGCGGGCTGCGGGCGGAAAAATGCGGGCTGCGGGCCGAAAAAATGCGGGCTGCGGGCGGGAAAATGCGGGCTGCGGGCCGAAAAAATGCGGGCTGTGGGCCGAAAAATGCGGGCTGCGGGCAGAAAAATGCTAACACGATTGCGAGCCGCGGGCCTGACGAATTTAAAAAAAAATATTGTCAAAATGTAAAGAAAATAACAATATTATTCAAAATTTTCTGTCTTTGAAGTATACTCTATGTCTAATGTTATTCGTAATCATATGCATATGATTTTTCCTTAAATTCATTCTTTTTGTAATATCATGGAATCTCAGTTTATGAGTCGTACCAGACATTAAAACCTGTTTCTACCGGGATAACTGTACACCAATCCTAATAGTAGCCTAATTTCCATCCAGCAAACTGATCTGACGTCATTTTCGGAGGATAGAAGAGATGTTAAATGGCTATGTAACTAACACAAACCCTACCCCTACTCTAACCCCTAACCCTAACCGCAATCCTAACTCTAATCGAATTAATGAAAAAATAAAAAAAAACGACTTTAGAAAATCGATAGGGCGGTTTGCTGGATGGAAAAAAAGTGCTAACTGCCAAAATCATTGGAAAATCATAAGAAAAACCAAGAAATTGGACTTCTGTACGACCCATTCTGTGCCCTGCACAGGACGAAAAGCGCACCTTTAATATGCTATTAAAGTAGGATTAATGGTGTATTTTATTCGTGTTTAGTCGCACTTAATGCGTTTTATTAAAGAGATTAAAGGTGCGTTTTAACACCTTTAGTTCGTTGCATTAAGTGTATTAACGACCACATTAATACCCAGAGATTAAAGTTCAATAAAGGATACTAAGTGTGCATTTAATTCGGCCGATTAAAGACCGATAAAATGCGGTTAAAGATGTATTTATTCGCCTTTAATATTGGTAGAATTGTTGATTAAAGACAACTTTAATCATACAAAAATGTGTTGCTTATAGGTTATTAAAGGTAAATTTAATCAGTTGATTAAAGACCGCTTAAAGCGATATAAAGAATGAATTAATCACATTTCATACATTGATTAAACTTTGTGTAAGTGCCATTTTAGTTCTATTTAGTCGCTCTATTATATTTGCAATAAGTTGCATCGCTTGTGACGTTGGGCTTTTTATTGCGCTTTTTAAATTGAAAATCTCGAATTTGTGTCATATTTTCTGACAATACAGTATTATTCATGGATCATGATTACAAAAACCCGGTCTTGCTTGCATAACTCAAGGTACATGCTTCGGTAATTATTATAAGAACATGTAAAAATCAGAGTAATCATTTGTAATGATGAAATGCAACATTAACTCAAATATACAACACGCGTTCATCTTTAAAATAAATTTATTATAACATATACATATACTACACCCGTTCATGTATGAAAATGAAACTAAAATTATATATCGAACTGAAACATTTATAATAAGCCCAGACTAATCCTTTCTCGCATAGCGTTCTCACGTACGATATTGTCATCCGTTTACAAGGAAATATAGAAAACACTATACGAAAACGGATTTGTGCGGACAAAGACAAAGTATAAAAACGGAACCCAAAATTATTACGTTTTGAGATTGGCTTTGTAAGATAAAAGTGACTAATGTTTGTGACTCGTTCTTTAGAAAATTCTTTTCAGCTGGCAAAAATTGTTGCCAATTTATGTACAATACACTCAGAGCAATACACTGTAAATTTCAAGGAGTCTGTATAATCAACTCTAAAATGTTATTCTGTAGTCGGTTTTGAACGTACTAAAATGTTATTCTAAAATGTTATTCTGTAGTCGATTGTACACTTTACAGTGTACACAGCTAAATTCACTTATATTGCCCTGGAAACGGTAAAAGGCAATTAAGACTAAAACATGCAGAGCGGGCAAAGCCAAGCGAATGATGCAAATCCTTAAATTTTTAGCGCTGGTCCTAACTGGTAGCTGTTTCATAATGTATTTCGAGTAAATAACGAGCTCATTCCCTCTATATAGTGGCGGATTTGTGTCAACATCTGCGACTTGCGCTCGTCCATTTTCAACCTCATATGTGACCAATCTGCATGGACAGTTGGCCGTGTTCGCTGGTTTGCCAGGTTCGATGGTTCCCCTTGCTATTATGAGTCATGACTCTCCTTGATAGTCCAGGCAGAAAATCCTAGTGATTCTTTATCGATTCTTCTTTGCTTTCCCAGGCAAACTTTCGCACGTTGTACTATTTCACCCTGTAAGTTTCTTCGTCTATCTAGCTCACTTTTGTCGGATGACATGTACTCCATCGTCGGAGGCCATCTGCCACCTTTGACACTCTTTCCTGGCTCCAGTTAACTTTATTGGGATGTTTGAATGTTCTTGCCAGTTTCTAAAAATGAACACAGATAATATTAGCAACATTATATTGTATGGTAACAGCTAATTGAAAAAAGGTTATCTTCGAAAACCTTAAACTCTAGGCACGCAAAGAGTTGGGTTTAGGGCTTTTGATTTGGCAAATAATCCTATAGTACGCTGCTATAGTTGTACATTATACTGCTTATGATCTATCTATCTTGTCATAGTTACGATACAAAATCCGCAAGTTTTAGGCCTAAGGCTAAGCAAGGTAGGCCTTAGGCCTAAAACTTGCGGATTTTGTATTGTAACTATGACAAGATAGATAGATCATACCTACCTTGCTTAGCCTTAGGCCTAAAACTTGCGGATTTTGTATTGTAACTATGACAAGATAGATAGATCATAAGCAGTATAATGTACAACTATAGCAGCGTACTATAGGATTATTTGCCAAATCAAAAGCCCTAAACCCAAGCAAGATCTCGCTCACACTGTGTAGTTATTTTTATAGTAAAAATTGCTGCGCATTTATATAGACAAGCGGGCTGCCAGATTGCCGAGATCTTGGTCGAAAGAGGCGAGATCTCGCTTACTGGGATGGAAATTTCTGCATCTAAACACTCACGAGCGGGCTATAGGCCGTTTTCCAGGATGAAAGTTCAAATATATCGCCGCAAGCTATTTTTAACTTACTGTCAAAACAATAAAATATATCAAACAGAATAACAAATTTGTTCCCGGCAAGCGGGATGAATTTTTCTCATATAAACACAAGAGAAATTCATCCCGCATCTCGTACTGTCTGCAGGACAGTCTGGCTTCTATATATGCATGAACAGGCTACGAAGGCATTACCGTATTGAGGCACTCGAATGTATGAAATTAATACTGGCAATTTTAAGAAGCAGGTAATAATCAGTTGCATATAATATAATACTAGAAAATACATGCGTGCAGAAACCCTCGCATTGCTGACAAAACCGTTGTATTTTACGAACATGAAGTATCTAAAGTAGTTGTCATGGTAACACGATAATTTTTTAAGAATATTCTTAATACAAATGAAAAATCGCCTAAAAATATCACTTTTAATTACAAAATTATCAATTTCCCAACATATTTATGTTAGGTATGTAATTATACGTAATACAAGCTTCAATTTAAGGTAAAATTCAACCACAAACAATTCACAAAACGTTTTAAAGTGTTCTTTATAAAACTAAACTGCCTTTAACTATTAAATGGCTTTATCGATAAACTTTGAGTTTTGCAATAAAATGATTTCAAATTCTCGCTTGCAAATAACTTTGCTTTATTTTTATTTAAAAAATTCAATATAATAAAAAAGGGAATCAATATTAAAGATACACTGAAATTATATGCTGTCTTGTTTAGTTGTTTCATATACGCAAAGGCCGACGGGTTTTAAAGCCATTATAAAATCAATATTTAAAACAAACTTACCTTTGTTAACGTCGGCTCCCTTCTTTTAGCTGATTCTTTCGCCCTTTCTTTCTTGAAATTTACAAAATCTTGCAGAAATACGAGCAAAAATGAAGAATATTTGCAAGAAATTTGTCAATCATCAACTCATCAAATCAAGAAATGTCAAATGTTTGCTATTTCGCCTCTGCTATTTCGCTGTCGTCATGCAGCCGTTATAATGCAAACTTTAAATTGGACCAATCAGTGTCCGCTTTTAATGACAGTCCGCCATATTTTTGAGATCAGTGGAGGTATATCCGTTACTCAAATGTTGTTTTCAACCATCTAAAACAACCATGGAGTGCGCATGTGCGTGGTTGTTATTTAGTACCCAGTCTCCAAAATGGTGGAATAAATCACTCGAAATCAAGCTAATAAATTAAATCATAAGTCAAAAATTAAATCATAAGTCAAAATGGCGGAAAAAAGAGTCATTCAGTGGCGTAAAGAAGGAGAGCCGAAACGTCATACTTTTCAGAAAAGGAAAAGAAAACGAACTGGAATGCAACAGAACGCTAATCGTTTACTACGTTCTAAATACATCGACTACAAGCTCAATTGAAGCTGAGAATTATAGTGATGCAGAAACTGATAATTTTAATATATTAAACTTGTTCACAGAACAGGTAAGAAAGTACATTATTTAGCTGTAACTATCGTCACTATATTGATGGTTATGTCTCTTTCTATCAACAATTTTAATTTTTTTTGTTGCTGTGTTGGTGTTGACTGTTGTGTACTCAGGTGAATATGATGTTTGTGATGTTACTCTGAGTGTATATCCACACCGGGCAAGCTTGGAAAATATGCCTGGCCACGGTGGGAATGGAACCTACAACCTTTGAAATACTAGCCCAATGCTCTGCCATCTGAACTACGCGGTCAGATCGGTTCGAGTACATGTGATCACTTATGTGCCGGAGCAGTGTAAACAGGCCAATCCGGTAACGAAACGAAGCAACATCTAGTCAAGCTTTTAAATTAATTAAACAAAGTTATTCTTTACAAAGAAAACATGTGTTACTTCTTGTTTTTAATAAATTTTGGTTTATTTGCAAAAAGTATTACATGTTTCCATGGCGACGGCGAGAATGAGCTGCCAACAGAACGAAGCGGCATGCATAGTGTAAACACCCTTGTTTTTTACTTCAGAGTGAAAATTACTCCAGTATGAAAAGTAATCCGGTAAAGTGTATAAAACGAGGCCTAAATTGCATTTGTTTGAAATAACATACTAAACACTTCCAGACAGTATGAATAAAAATGCTACCATTTAATTGATATAACATAATTTGACGGTTGACTTTTAAATTTGAAAAACAATACATTTAAATTAATTAACTTTTTCAAAAAAGTCAATCAACTGTATCAACCAATCAGAATTTTGCATTGTGTGGACACAATATTTTTGCAACCCAATATAATTTCTTGCAAACCAATATTTTTGAAGTGACTTTTAAGCCTGCTTCACATATATGCCTGCGACATACCGGCGACGATACCGGTGGTAGTCTAACGCCAGCCGATTGGGTTAGCTGGCAGATGGGTTAACTGGCCTATCTGCCCATGTGTCTAGTTAACACATTGAGTCGCATTGTATTATTTTGTCAAGGGGAGAGCGCCGTTAATACTACATGGCAAAAAAACGCTCAGGTTGATGCAATACTGATGAAAACAGGATTGAACAATGTTTTGCTGCCCACATTGTTCATAGCTGTCAACAATATTGTTACACCCGATTCAGGCTCAACAACATTGTTCAATATTGTTGACAAGTGTGAACAACGTGGGCAGCAAAACATTGTTCAGTCCTGTTGAGCAACAGGCTCGGCGTTTTTTGCCGTGTAGTAGTTCAATTCACACTGGACAAGATTTTGTCTAAAAAAATGAAAACTGATGAATCTTCACAACTTGTTAAATTAACCTGAAAAACCTAATATTACCTTATATTATATATAAAGACATTGTCATGGTTAAATCTTATTTCTTATTTAAATATAGGTATAATTATTGTCAATAATTATGTATAAATTAACCAATTTTTTTATTGATCTGTGTTTTAAGGAAATGAATGAAATTGACTCACATCATGGAACAGAGGGTATTGTGGCTGGATCATCAACTGTTGATGAAGTTGATTCTTATTGTGTGGAACTGGTTGGACATAATGGCATAACAACATTAAACATTATTTGTTTTCTTCTTCATGATTATTCTTTGAACGAAAATATATTACTGGTAATCTACAACACATTATTACTATATTTTTATTGCCAATCTCTAGTACTTGTATCCTCAGAAAATATTTAATATAAAAAAAGTTTTTGATAGTAACTAATACTTTGTGTCATATACGCCATTAAGTTGTAATGCTTCCAGATGCGCCTGATTATATTACTTTACTTTGTCTAACTCCAGGCGATTTTACTTGTCATGGGCTAAGTCTTGCACATTAATTAATGTATTAACTGTCTGTATTCTGTACTGTAATATTTTTAAGTTGTATTTATATAATACTTTTTGTGTGTTGGTGTTATGTACTCAGGTGAATATGATGTCTGTGGTGTTACTGTGACTGTGCATCCACATCGGGCAAGCTGAAAAGTTAGCCTGATCATGGTGGGAATCGAACATGCAAACCTAGAGCATTGGACGATTCACCACCATGGTCAGGCAAATTTGTCAGCTTGCCCGGTGTGGATGCACACTTAGAGTAACACCATAAACATTGTATTTATATGTTTTTGTGTAATGACTTGTTACCAAAATTTATTCAAAACAATCCTGCTACCTGTACTTTTTATAGGCAAAAACATTTGTGTTAATAACAAGGCGACCACACAAATTTCCTTGTGGAGATATTAAATGGAGTTATGCATGCTCATGTAGCAGAAGAATTGCAGAGTTATTGAAGTCTGGAGTGGCATTCATTGTTGAAATGCCTTATGATGGTATGTAAATGTACAGTGTACACTAAAATGTGCACTGTACCACAAATGCATCCTGAATCTGACATTCTATTAACTGTACATTTTTGTTGTGATTGTTTGTTTATTAGTGTAAAAAAAGAGTATCATTTAGTATCATTACAGGCAACTAACTGCTGTTCCCAGATGACAATGTCCAGACAAGATGGGTTCATACTTGAGTTAATATTTTGTTTCTTTCAATTAGAGTTTGCAACCTTGTTATCATACAGTACAGTACTTATAATTGCAGTTGATCGAAGTCTCTAGATCGTCGGAAATGGTATTTTCAGACTTTAATGTGGCCATCAGCTGCATGGTTGTAGAGCACAGAAAGGAAGTCGATTCAGGCAGTGTATAATGGCAATTAGCAATTCTGTAACCTTACTTATTATTTTTTGGACACTGTCCAAAAAATATATCTCATGGAAACAATAATTTTGCGTAATGTTTGCACAGGACGATCGGGACCGACAAATGGTTAATTTGGGACAGACTTTTTTACTATTTCTCAAAATTATGGGGGTGTCACACTCCACCCGCCCCCCCCCCCCATAATGTGCGGCCTTGTTTGTGCTACACATTTCTAGTGTGCATGGGCATGAGTATTCCTCTACGAGATTTTGTGTCTCGGAAGTGAAACAGTTTTGGACAGCTTTTTGAACAAAATTATATAGAAAACCGGGTTTTTAATGGAACATTTGCATTAAAAAAATCAAATTGTGAAAAAAATCATTGTGGAGGAAGATTGAGTTTCAAAAGTCAATTGAAGATTGAGTATTTACTACCGTATACCAGTAGTAGAAAAGTGCTTGAAAATATCCCTGCCATTTAACACCTCTTCCATCTTCCGAAAATGACGTCAGGTCAGTTTGCTGGATGGAAAATAGTGCTAACCGCTTTATAAACGCGATGCCATGTTTGTGCAGTGTTTCCACTATGATAAAAATTCCTTCTTATTCGCCTCGTGATGAACCGCGAAAAAAATTAAAGTGTCGAAGAAAATAACTGCCTTGGTTGGATGGTTGGTAATGGTTTGTTACTTTGTACAATTTTCATTATGCACTTGTTGTGAAAGATTGCTGAACTCACTAGTTCGCTTCACTCACTCGTTCGTTTGCAATCTTTCACGACTCGTGCATAAAAAATTAAAAATCGTACACGGCTCACCAACCATGCAGTATCTCTATGTATTTTTTTATTTTAACCATTGCATATTTTGTATCCTATGTTTTTGGCAGTCCGGTACAATGACCAATACGTTTTGTTTCATGACAGGCACAAATTCATTGGTGCTGGTCATTTTGACAGGCAGGTCCCCAAAAATTATTTCCAGGCTTGGATCGAAGTTATGTGAACCTGTTTAGTGCTTTGCAGAAAATATTCAAAGATACTGTAAGACATCATATGCCTCATAGACCAATATACACTTCATATACTGTATACAGTAGGCTGTTGCAATATTGAGAAAAAAAATATTGATACAGTTTATGTATCTTCCTGGCCTTGTCATAACATTCAGGCTTGAATGCTTGATTACAGAAACACTCATTGCATGTTTTGCCCCATGTTATATACAAAATCTTTGTACCTGACCAACATACATGTATGTTGTAACATGTACTGTATGTGTTTAGTAAGCTGAATTCATTGTCAAATATTTTTATTTGTATTTTAGATTTTGTTGATAAATATGAAACATGTATTCATGTCCAAGCATTAAAGAAGATAATGTGTGGGTTCGACAGCCAAAATGACATAGATGCTACTCAGTTTACTGTTAGTGATATTGTTCAACACAGTAATGATCAGGTAAAGAAAGTGTTGCATGTTAACTTAATTTCAGGAAGCTCTCTCACGAAGTGATTTTCAGAAAGGTCCTGAACTAAATAAACTATTTTACAAGGAAGACATGCATATACCACATAACTATGAAAAATATTAAAAAATTATATGAGGAAAAGTTCAAAGATTGCTAAAAAAAGTTTCTCTTAAATGTATAAATACTAGTAGATAGTTTTATCTTTCTGTTCAAGTTGTTGCAGTCTGTTATGGCCTGATAAGCGAGTATTTGCTTTCCCCCATTTCCTTGACACTTTAGGTGGCCTTAAATTGTCCTTATATCGCGTATCGTAGTTGTGTATTTCTCTGTTCGCTAGAAGTTCAAATCCATGTGAGGTGTGATTATTTAGATACTTAAAAACAAATAAACATCTATGATACAATCTGCGTTGAAATTAATGTGAGAGCTTGGCCACAAACAGTTTTAGTAAGAAATTACTATTTACCGTATTAATTCTTGAGATGTACAGTAAGCTTGTGATTTTCACAATTTAGTAGAATAGATGAAATATACTGTGTAATATTTTAGATGATGCTACTCCAGGCCTTGGGCTTGGAATTAGTGGGAAAACCAGATCTTCGAAGTTTGGGCATTAAATTACATGGAATGAAAGCATTAGGACGGTCAGCCCATTTATGTTTTGGCTGGGATAACAAATTTCCTGACTCTTCTTCACACGTTTATGAAATTATGAAAAGATTACTGTATCAATATTATATCATTATAAGTACAACAAAACATCCATCATATTTATTTACTGTTTAAATATTGGTGAGTTGTTTTATTGGTGTAAATCTCACGAAAAACAAAGCAATATAGTGACGGCAATTGGACAATATGTTTTATAATATATTATATTCCCTCACCGAAGATTACTGCAGTCCAATTTATACTTTACACATGCCACAATTAACATTGGCAAGATAATTCATAGGTATCTACTGTATATTATGAGCAAGACAATGTTAAGTTTGTATATTACCTGTAGTTCGTACCTCCTTACCAAAATATTTGCCAGAAAAATACCGAAAAACGAAAACGTTTCATCAGTCCCAGTCCTCTATACAGTACTCTATATATATGCCTTGTTGATTCGGTGAAATACAGTTGAAGTTTCCCTTTCCGCTTTTCCGGTTTTTAACCTTTTATCATTTTGTACATTTTATTGTATTGATATATACAGTATATATTACGGTATCCGGCGGGGTAGTAAAATTGACCTTCAGGTGCACCCCTACACGTACTGTATACATATTTTAAGCTCCTGCATGGAAACTGATATATATGGAATTATGTTTTTCAATTTTTAGGAACTATCAACAGTACATTCTGTAGCTGGATCTCCTTATCTTTTATGTGTCCTCCTTGAGGCCAGTTTTGGAGTTGTTAGTTGGGAGCGTGATGAGTTGAAATGCAGTGTGTGTTCTGGATTATTGTCTGGTTCATGTGATCACGTGAAGGAGGTGAATAAAATTTTAGAAGATGACGGCGAAACTCCTGATTTTGTTCTATCGTTTATGGAGTACAGATATGATCGTGTGGGCGTTGGTGCAAAAGCTTCATGGTTTTTGCATGCCAAGTCCTATATGCCAATACCATTTATTTTACCTGAGCGACTTAAACAGATAATGTTTGAAACCTCTGAATGCCAGATTGAAATGAACCAGGAAGGTGCACGTTTAACACAGAGTATACCTGAAGCCAGCACTAAACTTCCTGTCTGTCCATCCTGTGGTTCACCGTGGCGACCAGAATCACCAACCTTGCATGACTGGTTATCTGAAACTTGCAACATTATCCTAAGAAGGTTTCATCTCAAATGTTT